GGAACTGAAGATATCTCAAACCATTCAGGCGAACGCCTTGTAATCTTGCCCTAACTAACGCTACGACATGATCGAGTACAAAGCGTACTTTGCGGGCAGGCAAAAGAAGAAAAGAACTAGATTGAGAGAGGACGGCTAGCTGAAAATTTGGCTGATGAGAAGACCGTCTGAAAATCTCTCGGTTAATGAGGAACCTACGAGATCGACCTTCAGAGCTGCTACAGCTTGGTGTTAATAATCGTTTCAAGATAGACGAAGTCATCTATGACTTCAAATTTATGACTTTACAATCCCGAAGATGCAGAGTCGCAAATTCACTGACTTTTTATTTGATGACAGCAGATATTCAGTATTTTCTTCGTTCACTACCAGACCCATGTCATTCGCTTCCTTATCCTGTCAAGAGAAAGCAAAGCTCACGGCACAGTGACTGAGGCCAATAATACGATGGACGCTCATTCAACTATTTTCGTGAAAGTTAGTATAGCACCGCAATTATTGCAGTATTGTACTTATAGTAATTAATTAGTAATTTTTTTTTTATAAATTTTTGGATATTAAAATTTTTTCGATATGAAAATTTTCTTTTTAATTTTTTCCCCTTTTTTTTTTGCTACATTTTGCTGCGGACCTACCACTTAGCGATGCCTTTGACTCCACTACTAGCGACGTGCCACCGCTTGCCTTTTGCCACATGCCACACGCCACATGCTGCATACCAGTCGCTTGGCACACGCGTCTTAATTGCCTTTAATGCTTGAACTTTGAGGTTAAATGTGGCAACGCGCAGCTCGAACAACAAGAAACAGCTGAAAGCGTTCGGCATGTACGGCGCATGTATAACTAACCCCATAGAGCCACATATATATATACACATACACACAAATGCACTGCTACTGACGTTAGCGCCTTTCATTATTTATATTGTAGCTTTTTTTCTTTTCTTTTTTTTTTTTAGATAAGTTTTTCATTCCATTTCTCTTCAAAGCGTTCGGCAGGTCTCTGGTGGTTGTGTGCCCGGTTAAAGGCTAGAAAAAAAAATTAAAATTACTTACTCACCTGCATTTGTCGTGTACATACGAATACATACGTGGAGTGACTAGAAAAAAGTATTAAAATAAACAGCAAAAACCTACTTAACTCATGTCGACAGCGAGTATGTAGTAAAACAACAACAATGGTAGCAAAAGTACAATATTACAAGCTCATTAATGTGAAAAAGTGTGGTAAATCCAATAAGAAATTCCTAACGCCGGAATTTTAGGCTTTTCTCCCATGGGAAGCATAAGTTTCGGGTTTAACTAAGTACAACAACAAATTTGCCCTGAAAGTGTCGAAATAATCACAAAAACTATTGTTGCCATCACAATTACATCCAGAACAATTAACAGTATAACGGGTGAGCAAGAAAAATTTGCGCTTTGATATTTCTCATTGATCTTGCCTTTACTTGAAGAACTCAACTTTCCGGTTAATGATGGCATCTCTCAGGCGACTCTCGGAGATAGGCTTGTAATAGGCCATTCTGTTCAGTCTGTTAAGCTAATTTAATTTAAGGTATCATCTTATACTGAACGGCTTCTCTCAAAAAAATAGTCCAGTGGAGTCAAATCCCAGCTCAATCATAATTAATACCTTTCAAGTCTTTTCAAGCGTAAACTTCTCCAATTCGCATACTGCGAACCTTGTGGCACATCGTGAATGTCATTGAAAATGTCAAAGCTCAAATAAACCCTTATTCAAAAAGCAAACAGAGCGGTCCTCCTTTAGTGCTTTCCATTCTGTTATGCGGGAGCGCCTACATACATATATATATATTATATATAATTGGCGCTTTGTAACCGCTTAAGGGATTTTCGGCCGAGCTCCTCCTCTAATTTGTAGCTTTGAGTCTTTGAGGGACCTATAGTTTATGTTAAGCTGTCTCGGAACAACTGATGGTTTTTTATGCGATGCCTTTATTTCCTGTCAGAAAAACACTCGGAGGGGTTGACATTCCCTGGCGAGAGGCGAACGCAATTAGAAAATTTAGCTTTATTTAAATTAATTTTCTACAACTTTTTGGATGTTAGTACAACACCAAGATTTGAACCCGAGCCTTCCGAATGGCAGTACGCAATGCGTACTTAAAACGTAAACTTTAAGGTTAAAATTATCCGACTTGCATTAAATAAGCGCGGTTTTGCTCGATTATGCCTAACTCATAAAACCCTTAAGCCTTTTAGCGAAAAAAATTATGCATATCCATACCCATGGTCCATACCCTTCGTTTGACGTTTCCTGTAAGTGATACACTTTTCATGACTAGTAATCAAGCGCTTCAGAAATTGATCGATTTTGTTCCGACACCGTAGTGATTCACAGATGGAAATTTGGCCAAGAGTATTTTCGTCTACTTATGTGGCGCCCGTCGAGCTTCTTTGTAGGAGATATCCAGAAATTTTTAAAATGCTTCCAAACTACTAAGCAATCGAAAAATTGCTCGCATGATATCTTTTGAGTCCTGGACAGCCAAAAAAAGTTTTAAGATAAGAAACTGCAAGCGTTACTCGATGAACGCTATTAATAAATACAAGACGATCTCATAGAACCTATGGGAATCGCTCAAGCAGTTATGTTAAAACATTTTGAAGCAAACAAATTGAAAGCCAACCTTAAAAAACTACAAAAACAACAACTGGAAAGTTTTGACTCACAAGCCTCAAACCTCGGACCTTGGCCCCTCTGACTATCATTCCTTCCGGTCGATCAGAGCATAGTCTCAAAAAAGGGCCAATTCGTTTTCGACTACCAAGTCGGTGCAGCTCTGGAAGCTGAGAAACATTTTTTCCTTAAATAAACAGCATCGCTAGCGTATTGCCACTCGGAAGGCTTGAGTTCAAATTCTGGGTCGTACATACAAAAAGTTATAGAAAATTAATTTAAATCAAAAATTAAGTTAATTTTGTAATTGCGATCGCAGGGCAGGGAATGTCCACCCTTCCGATTGTATTTTGCAAAGGTCACGCATGGCCCTCGAGGCAGCTCGAAAACATTGTCTGCTGTAGGTGGTGATTTTACTCCGAGCACGTCATTCACTGAAAGGGAGTCTTTGAAGGTGTTGTCTGACTCTTGGTGAATGGCCTTCAGTGCTTGTCTGTACGCCGTCCTGTCCAGCGGTTGTTGCACATGAAGCTGGATTGTGTCCTTTAAATCTAGTACTCCTTTTCTGATGCGCCTAGGTGGAGATTCAGCTTCTATTAGGTACTTATTGGGGTGCTCCCTGCTTCACTGTGCAAGTAATGCTCCGGCGATATCAGGAGGTTTCCTGTCGCACTCCTGAGGGCGGTGTTCTGGCAAGCCTGTAGCTTATTCATCTGCGTCTCGTTCGTCCCCGGCGCCCAGATCGGTGCAGCATACAATAGTTTACGACCGGCCAGCCAATTGCTTTATAAGTTACCAGCAAAGAGATAATGAGCGGGCTTAACCTACGATTAGTGACCTTGAGATTCTCGTGATCCGTTTCAAGTAGTACCTGAGTTTGCCTCTTCTTCTGCAGGGAACGGTACAGAGGTTTTGTCAGAATGCTACTAGTTGTTACAATTACTAGTTCCGATTTTCATTCAGCTTCTTGCTTAAACACAGTACTATGTAGGAGAAGCTTTTCGATTGCCTGCGAGGTATCCCACGTATTTAATTGCGTATCAAAATCACATCAAATGTTTACATGTATATCTGTATGTATGTATTTTGGTCGCAAAACATTTCCCAAATGATTAATTTTTGTTAATTAAAGCCATCGCATCTGACTACCTATGTGCACATACTATATATGTATGCCCACAACACAACTTCCAACAGCTTTATGCAATGTAGAGTTAACATAATGAAAGGACAACGCCCATGAGCGTGCCCAAGAACGAGTAAAAGTGGGAGGGTTTTAGAAATTCCTTAGTATTGAATGGGCGGACCTTACTAAACACCCGATCAACATTTGATAGATGGACACTCATGATTCTGTATAGATTACTATGGTCCGAGTTTGAACCCGAGCCCTATCCAATTTGTAGTTTTTGCTTTGAAGAATGACCTATAGTTTATGAGGATTTGATATTCTCTGACGAGAAGCGACCACAGACAAAAAATATAAATTTTTGAATGTCGGTCGGTCAGGGGTTCTGACCCTTTCGAATGACAACCCATAGTTCGATAGACAACTATATTTAAATTCAAAGTGCGCTTCAAGCTTTCAATCAATTCAATACAGATCGATCTTCTTTTGCGTCGTATTATTTGTTGCGTCTTCTGCTTGGTTCGTCTGATGATACCAATATATATATATATATGTAATTGGCGTTTTATAAGCGCTGTAGCGATTTTTCAGCCAAGGCTCCTCCTTCAATTTGCCGTTTTGCGTCTTGATGTTTTTCCAACAAATGGAGAGACCTACAGTTTAAACCAAGCCGGCTCCAAACGGCTGGTGGGTCTTTTACGGGGAGCCTATATTTCATGTCCGAAATGCACTCGGAGGCGTGGGCATTCCCTGGAGCGACCGCAAGAAAATTTTGAGGATACCAATAATCACGCATAATGATGAAACCGGACATTTTATTTCATCCACGCTTGTTATGAGGTCGTCTTCCGCTTCCATCAAATATCTTGGCACTTCAAAGGACTCTTGAACCAAATAAGTTGAGCTTTAAATGGTTTTTTTTAAAACTTTGTCTTTCAGTTGTGGTCCAAGGCTCTAAAAAAGTCATAACCGCAATATTTGTTGTAGTTCTATTTAACTAGAGTTCCCCCCACGCTAAACTAAATGTGGCTGTGTGCACGCTCATGTCGACAAACACATGATTACATCGCCCATGGGATTCAATTAGCAGGAACAAGAGATAAGCCATAGCAAGCAATCACGCTGTATGGGCCTGAGCCATCGCTAATATGTAAGCGAGTAAAGTGAAGTAATAAAAGTGCTAAGCAAACAAAAGTTGTTGACACACCATTTTTCGGAAGCAAACAGCATGAAGTACAAGCGGATTTTGGAATACACTCTCGCTATACTGCAGCTCGCGCACCGAGCTAATGGACAAGACATTCAGCTTAATTGGACGGATTACAATTTGTTGAATTTCCTGCAGGATATACGACGTTTACATCACTATGATCAATTAGTATTTGCACACAATCGCAATGCAACTTTTGGCGCAGCTTTTGGCGAACTATCAGGTAACGCGTTGGATGAAGGTGGTGTAGATTTTGAAAGCTTTCAAGCCAATCGAACCGGAAATGTAGATTATGAAACGGAATTCGTGCGCTATATGATGACGGAGCTGCCTACGGCAGTGGTATTATACGACGAGTTGAGCTCATTTGAGCTGAAGCGGCATTTCAGTGCAGCCTTATTGATCGTTGTTTATTTGGAGGAAGAGCTTATGGCACAGTCCGCGCTGTTCAAAGCGTTGGTAGGCAGCTTGAAGCACAGAATGCAAAGCAATATTTTATTTTTAATAAATATCGATAGCACCACAGCCTCTTGTGAGACGGCGTTTTTAAGAGAACTCTTTCAATTTAGTTGGCACAGTAAGATGATCAATGTGGCAGCACTCTGCAACGACTATCAGGTAAGTTTGTAAAGAAAACAATTTTTCAACTTTAAAATGGTACATAACCACACATTTTCAGGATACGCAGCAGTTCTACTCCTACACCCACTTGCCCGACTTCGCTTTGGAGTACAAACACTTAAGCGCCGAGTTGCTTTACCGCGGACCGATCTTTCCCTATCGTCTGTCTAATTGGCAAGGCTACAAACTGCCCTACATAATAGGTGGCGGCGATCCACGCGTTATTGTCTATGAGTATGATAGACGGCGTGTCGTAGGCGGTTTTGCTGGTCATTTTCTGGTTACCTTTGCCCACAAATACAACTTCACGCTCTACGAGCCGCTGCCTATTAAATCGTACACAAAGTTTCCACCCTCTCAGGATTTAATTAAAGCCGTGCGTAACAATACCGTTGAGATTTCAGTCGCACTTACCTTTCCAAATATTCCCTTGGATGGATTCTCTTACCCCTACGAACAAGTGAATTGGTGTGTGTGGACACCCGTCGAGGCGGACATCCCGAATTACGATTTCTTCTGGATCGTATTCGAAGGTATGACCTTCTTGCTCGTGCTTGGCGCTATTATTGTCATATCTCTTGTGTTGAGCTGTGCACTCTGGCAACATAATAGCAAACCGGATCTATTGCGTTTTGTCATACACGATGCCTGCCTGCGCGGCGTAATCGGTCAGTCGTTTCGTGAACTAAGTCGTGCGCCATTCGTTATACGTTTCATTTATATGCAGATCTATGTGCTGGGCATACTGCTCACCACCTCGTATAATGCCTACTTCGCCGCTTACTGGACGAGCGCGCCGAAAGTGGCGCCACTTCGCACCTTCGATGACATACTACAATCAAATAAGAAAATATACATGTTCGCGCCAGAGTATAATGAGCTCATCGGTCGGGCAGCTGATTTACGAAAATATATACCGATGTTTTACATCGAAAGCGATTATCATAAGTACTTGGCCACACGCGATGCTTACGATACAAAGTATTTGTATATGATACCCACCACAAAGTGGCGCATTTACCGTGAACAACAGAAGGTATTCACCACACCCATATTCCGCCTGCGCGCCGATCTTTGCTTCTACTACAACATACCACTGGGCTTTCCCATACACAGCAATTCGGTGCTTGCGAAAATTTTGCAGGATATGGTTTTGGAGACAGCTCAGTCGGGTTTAACCGATTACTGGATGCGTATTGGTTTTTTGGAGTTAATCAGAGCTGGACGTTTGAGTTTCGAGGACATGAGTCGTAAGAATGAGTACAAGGCGATGGCAGTGGAGGATTTGAAATATGTATGGATGGGTTATGGCATTGTGTGTGTGTTAATTGCTTTTGTATTTCTCGCTGAGCACTGTTACTTTCGACGGGAACGTGTTCGAACGTTCTTTGCTGAAAACCTGTGGCGTAAATGTTGTGGCAGGAAACAATTGTGAGCTGAAAAAAAAATAAAACAAACCTAAAAATATCTGGTATCTTTTAAAATCACTTATACATGCACATTGAAGCGCGAGATATAAGAATATTTACGAAGATTCTGCGCAGACTTTACTTGGGGCAAATATCTCAAACTCAAACTCTTTGTTAAGAAAGACAATAAAGAGTTTTTTATTATGTTTTTAAAAGCTCGGCAAAGCCAGTTTCAGTAGCAAGCTGGAGAAAGTTTGGCGGTCGACCGCCATTCTCATTACAGTAGTGCTGCCGTCAACTCCTATGAAAGCTCGAGCTGCAAAGCTATAAAGCTTACTTAACCATGGACGAACTGTACCATATGGTACGCCCAACTATTAAGCCCTACACCTTTTTCAGTGGCGGTGGGCTATAGCAGCTCAGCTTTCTGTTTCGATCATTATTGTTTGAGAAAACTCACAGAGAGTAATGAATGGGGAGAATGGAAACAGTTTTGGATGAAAGCCAGTGTCAGCGACGTCTCAAAATTCATAAGCACTTGCAATCTACATGAGCAAGAGATTTTCCGACTACTGCAGACTGTTTCAAGCAGAACTAACTGCAATAATTGTAGGCGCTTTTTGGTTACTTAAATCCGCGGGATAACTCAACCTAAAGCGATATATTCTGAGAGCCTAGTTGTCATTAACTCTCTTCAATACAATATCATCGATGATATGCTAAGAAGTTTTAAGCAAACTAGAGAATATGAGTGAAAAGCTTGGAGCTTGGGTTCCAGGCACATCGATATCCCAAGGGATTGTATGGCCTATGGGCTACGTAAAAAGGAAACGGTCATAGCCACGGTAAACTCTACATACTAAGCTGGCATACCTCTTTCCTAGACAAAGTACTTGCTAAAATCGGTCTTCACAGGGCTTCCATGTGTGTAATAACCTGGCAGTGTTTAATGCAGACTCCTGTTAGGAGGATGGCTTACTTCTCTGATAACTTCTGTCGCAGCGGCAAAAACAAAGACGAAAAAGAGTAGGTAGAGCATTACCTATGCTACCCCTTAGTGCCATTGTTTCCCCTGTGATATTTATTTCGAACTATCTTTATAAGCTTGCTTCGGTAAACGTCCGTAATATTGCGAGCTTTATAACCACCGAAAAATATAAAAATTTACAGACTGGAGTTCAACCTCTTTTCAGCATTTCTAAAGTCGCTTTATTAGAACTCAGTGATGGACCAACCTCAACTACTAACGATCTAGTAGCCGAGTGGTTAGCTGGAGCCCGCCGAAAACTCGCTTCAGCGGTGAAAAGAAAAACCAATTAAAAATAGTTTCTCACCTACCTACAACGGAGGTGAATAATCTTTAGCAAATTGAGAAATTTGTGTGCTCAGAAAAGTTAGCTTTAAATTATTCTGATGGAAAAACGTATTTTACGTAAAATAAATATTTTGAAATTGACAAGGCATAAAGGCTTTCACTACAAAAAATTGTGGAAGTTAAGGACCTTACTGCGGGCGGGCAAACTTGTGCCATCAGGTGAGCTCATTGTCCTCCCTTGCTTATACCAACTATCCGTTTGCAATCAGTTCCCTTATCCTCACAAGAATATATTGTAGCTTGAAACATTATTGAGAATTTAGCATCCCAATCGGTTGAAGGACAGGAACTCGCACTCGCCTTTTCTAAGCAGACTCTATACTCTGCCGATTCACCTTACCCAGCTTGTGGCAAGAGTTCGATGTGTCTGCAGATCATGCAGTATCTTTGTAGTTTAGTGATACGCCTTATGTTTGCTCCAGACCCTTATTGTTCCTCTAACTTCTTTAGTGTTTAACAATATTTAAAGGCGTTTAAATGTTTGAGAGCTCAACAGCGGACTGGAGCCCAATGGGTGTTGACACATTTAATCGCTGTCCTTATAAAATGGTTGTCCGTTAGACACCTTCATAAATGCGCAGAATTTCGGCTTAGAAAACAGATTTGTGATCACGGTGTATAAAGACGTCATGGCTATCGGGGCAGCCATTGAAGATAGTTTGCAACCATCGGTATAGTGTGAATATCGTCGCTATTACCAATATTCTGGCTTTCCGTCTATTCTTTTCTCTCAGAGAAAAAGTAGTTGTCGTACAACCGGCAGAAAGTTTACGTTTCTAGATTACACTGTACGCTCAGCTTGAGTTCTGTCTTCAGTCATGTCCATTTTTCCTTGGAAAATTAATTACTTTTAATACCTACATTAAGCAGCACTCAAAGCTCTGTCAAGATCGGAAGGGACTTCTCCGAGCCGTTCGATACCAAACGAGGTTTTAGACAAGAGAATTTCTTATCGTGTGACTACTTTAATCTATTGTTGAAGAAAATAATATGACAATAGACAAGGCACAGTCTTTCAGAAGAGCGTATAACTGCTGGCGATAATATTGCTATCAAAGGCCCTAACAACCATGCCGAGACTTGATAAAAAAAGCTTTCTTCGGACTTGATAGAGAAGCGAAGAATATGGCTCTGGTTGTGAAAGAGGGCAAGACGAAATTTCACCTGTCATCAAACAAACAGTTGAAAGTCATAACTTTGAAGCCTTGGATAACTTCCTCTATCCATGTACCAGCATTAATACCAACAACAATCTGCCTTGAAATACAGCGCAAAGTCACTCTTACCAACAGATACTACTTCGAACTGAGTTGGCAATTGAAAAGTAAAGTCGTCTCTCGACGAACGAAAACCAAACTCTACAAGTCGCTCATCATTCCCATTCTGCTATACGGTGCGGAGGCTTGGATGGATAGATCTGATGAGACGACCGTGTTAGTATTCGAGGGAAAACTTTGGCGAAAGATCGAGATGATCTGTTGGTGGCATTGACATAGTTAAGCTAATTAAGAGACAACTGCTAACAGAGCTAGATCATGTCGGCCGAATGAATAAAAGCACTTCAGATGTGAAAGTATTCGTTGCAGTACCCTGTGGTGAAAGCATAGTAAGAGTTGGACTTCCACTCCCTTGGAAGGATAAGGTGGAGAGTGACCTGGCGCCAAACAGCGAACAGATTCAGCTATATTTGCCTAAGCGGTACCTTCCGCAATGAACAAGAATAAAGGGAGAATCGAAATTATTTCCAGATCGTGGGTTCCTTGTTGTTCAAATTCAAAATTCACACATACCCTTGTATATATGGTAACGCCAACACAAAGGTATGTAATTTAACGGTTACGTAAAACAACAGCGAATCTGCGCTGCTTTTGAAAATTGTTCGGGCAAATTGCCGGAACCTTTTTTCTTTTTAAGCAAAATTGTCTCGGCAAAATATTAACGACCAATACGAATGGCTCGAAAGCGAGTTGAAGACAACACAGCTGGGCGGTGAAGGAATCATAAGGAAATTTTTCGAAAAAAAAGAGACATAAATAATTGTAATGTGTGGAGAATAGTCACAAACAAGACCGACAGTATGTCTCTGCCCGTTTTATGTTCGCTGAGAACTAGCATTTCGCTTTCATAGCTGTTAAAATATATATTATTTGAAACATAATAACGGTGCTGTTACAAAAAAAATGGAAAATGGCATTCTTAAGGATTTTGAAAAGCAGACAAGCTAGAAGAAGCGGTTGTTCTTTATATTAAATTACAACCGAAGCACAGTCCTTAGCGCTGCGGAGCTGGTATTTCGAATTATTTTTTGCTATGAAAAATTTAAAATAAAATATTTCACTATAATACATACATACGTACACATGTATGTGCATATGTGTTTTTATTTCACACTTTTTCCAATGCTTCATCTTCACTTACCTTACCTTATTTGTCTCCTAATTTATACACCTTTCTTTTTAATTAGCAATTTCTCATCCGCCGCACGGACAGAAACAATTTCTCAGCAGCTGCATTCAAACTCATAATATTGGAGTTTTACGCAGCCATTCGCCATTTCCAATATAATTGATAGTAAAGATTTGTTATCGTAATAATCCGCGTGCGCGACTACGACCCGGTAGGAAAGGCAACTTGGGAAAATTTTAGGGAATTTCGCGAGCGCAAATGAAATTATGACAAAAGTCGGCTTTTCGCGGCGTCACTGCTAACAACCATTATCTTATGCCATTTCCGTTAGAAAAATTTATGATTTTAAATGTTGTTAATGACATATAATGTTTTTTTTTTATTTTATATGACGTTAAATACGACGAGTTTTGTATAAGAAAGGCTTTTTATAATTTATTGGATAAATAAAGCAGCAAGGCAAATTCACACACGGTAATAGCAAGAATACAAAATCAACAAACCTATATATTTTGTTTGTGTAATTTTTTGAAGTGGAAGGAAGAACAAGCAATTCGCCTTATAAATTAGCCTCTTGCGTACATCCTCTCTTCTCTCGCTAACACTCTCTCTCTTTCTATTTTTTTATCTATCTTTGCAATTTTTTTATTATCATATACCCTTGGATATTTCACTTCCTTGTGTAGAAGTTTCAGAAAAGCCCACATATTTTTAGCTACGAGGTGTGACAATAAAGTAATGAGACTGATTATTTTTCCGCGATTCGAAATTCCCCTTTCCTTCTCTCGGCATCCTTCTCCTCTTCTCTGATATATTGTATTTGCCATCGCTCTAGCTTGTTTAGTGCGCTTGTTGTGTCGTATTGAGTAAACGTGTGTTCGTGGTACTCGTCACAAAAATGGAAAAACGAAATCAAGAGCAACCCGTCGCGATAAAATGTTGCGTCAAATTAGGCGAAACAGCTATGGAACGTTCGCTAAAATTGTAAAAATTCATGGTCATAGTGCTCTCAATCGTGCCCAGGTGCTTCGATGGCATAAAGAGCTTAAGGAGGGGCATGAGCAAGTCGAAGGTGAAAACGATGATTATTGCCTTTTTTATAGCCGTGGAATCGTCCACAAAGAATTTCTTCCACGGGAGCAAACCGTAAATCAAGTCTACTATCGTCAAGTACTCGAAAGATTTCGAAAAGGAATCAGCAGGGTGCGCATAGACATCGCTCATACCTGGATGCTTCATCACAAC